CAAGGTGCTAACCACCAGTTGTAGTTACATGGCTTAATACTGTATTCTGAGGAGGACTCAGGTGTACTTCTGTGGCATTCCTGCCAGGAATGTATGATCTGACTGGAGTGAGGAAATAGAACAGATCTAGGTGGAGGGTTATCTAACAAAATGTAGAATGTGTACTTTCTAAAACTTTCAAAGACATAAAAGACAGGGAAAAATGAATTCTGAAGAGATATGACAACTAAATGCAACATGCATTCATGGACAGCATGCTGGACCAGAAAAGAAGAGATACTCAAAAATGGTTGTAGAATTCCTGTTGAAAGACTTAACAATGATAGATTATAAATGTGTGCTAGTTCCTGGGACCACAGAATATACATATAACCAGTAGCAGCCCCTCCCCTAACTTAATGGAAAATGTTAAATTCTCGACAGTTCTGGGTAAAATATTTAAAAAATAAGAGAGGCTTTGGAGAAAATTCAACTGATAAATTCAAAAATCTACTGAGTGAAAGGTCATCTCTTTTTTTTAAGTTTTATTTATTTATTCATACAGAACTGGGGCATAGGCCAGAGGTGAAGGGGCTGTGAGAGGATTCACCAGAGACAGAGTGTGGAGCAGGACAGGCAGATCGACGAAGTACACTGCTGAGGGGAGCCGCGGGCAGGTCAGGAGAAGTCTGCCGGGCCATGTGGTCACCTCCGGGGCTGGGGATTGAACTCCCACTGAAGCGGCTGCAGCTTGCTTGCAGTGCTGCATCCTAACCCAGTGTGCTACCAGGAAGGGCCGAAAGATCATTTTGAATGATCTAATTAGTGGATTAGAAATCTGATTTGACTTTATTATCAAATAAAGTATATTGCCTACTGATAAATAAGATCATTTGCCTACTGATAAATAAGATCATTTATCTTATTAAGACCTAAATACCTTACTAAAAATACCTTACCTGGAATTAAGACAAATTAAATTAAAATTTTTTTAAATGAATAATTTCAAATAGCTTAACATACTATCCTTCCCAAAGGAGACATACATTTTATACACTATAGGCTATAGGTCCCATTGCAGAAGTAGAAAGATAAAAAAAAATTATAGCTGTCGGGCCCTCCCTGGTGGCGCAGGTTAAAGCACAGCACTAAGAAGCTAAATCTACTTCCACAAGAGTTTGACCCCTGCCCCAGAGGTGACCCACATGGCCGCGGCAGACCTCTCCTGACCAGCCTTTTGCTCCCCTCAGCAGTGTACTTCGTCGGGCAGCCTGTTCTGCTCCCTACTCTGTCTCTGGTGAATCCTCGCACCACCCCTGCACCTCTGGCCTGCACTCCAGCTTTGTAGCCATAAATAAATAAATCTTAAAAAAAAAAAAAAAAAGTTATAACTGTCTAAAGATCTTTTAGTTAACTATAATGAACTTCAGAAGTAATGTCTTTTGAAGGCCTTAAACAATAACTGAAAATTACATGTTGGGGTTTCTCTGGTGGCACAATGTGTTAAGCTAAGCACCATAAAGCTACTGCAGCCACTGCAGTAGAGTTCTATCCCCATCCAGGGAGGTGATCCACAAGGGTGACAGATCTCTCCTGACCCACCTGCTGCTCCCCTCCTCAGTGTACCTTGTTGATTTGCCTGTTCTTGCTCCCCACTCTGTCTGGTGAATCCTCTCACTCCCGCACCTCTGGCCTATACCCCAGTACCCCAGTTCCATAAATAAATAAATCTAAAAAAATTTTTTTTAAAAGAAAATTACAGTCTGATAACATATCAAAAATACAAATACCTTATTAGGCTCGTCCTACTTAAAGCATTATTAGAGAATTAAAAACTGTTATAACTATATTATAAGTTCTTCCCTTAAAAGAAGAAATCTTAAGGTCAATTCTTTTCTTGTTTAGTAAATTACAAGTAAAACAACACTCAGCATTACTGCAAACTAAAATTTGTATGGTTTTTAAATGGAGATAAAATATGTCTTAGGGCCCTCCCTGGTGGTGCAGCGGGTTAAAGCACTAAGAAGCTTAAGCCACTTCGCATGGGTTCAATCCCCGCCTGCCAGGGGGGTGGTGACCACATGAGCGGCAGCAGACCTCTCCTGCCCCCCCCCCACTGCTCCCCTCAACAGTGTACCTCATGGATCTGCCTGTTCTGCTTCCCGCTCTGTTTCTGGTGAATCCTCTCATCCTCCACATTTCTGGCCTGTACCCCAGTTCTGTATGAATAAATAAATAAATGTTTAAAAAAAAAAAAGGAAAAAATATATGCCTTAGGATTGTTCTAAGAATTAAATGAGATAATATATATAAAGCACTTAGTATGAATTCAGTGTTCCATGAATGGAATTTCTTGCTTATTCTTAGAGAAAGGATGTGAAACAGTCCTGTAATAAGATCAAGTGCCTTAAAATCTATTGAAGAAATTTGTAATGACTGCAGAGTCAGATTTAAACAGAATAGCATTTTTAAAAAGGAAAAGAACCTTTTTTTTTTTTTTTAAAGCATACAAGAACTAGGGTACAGGCCTGATCTGTAGGGGATGAGAGGATTCATCAGAGTGGGAAGGGAACAGACAGACTGACAGAAACTCCTGAGGGGAGCAGCAGGCATGACAGGAGAGGTCTGCTGTGCCATGTGGGTCACCTCCCTGGCCAGTGAATAGCTTCATAATGCTGCACTTTAACCCCTTATGCCACCAGGGAGGGCCCAAGGAAAGGAATCTTGGCCTATTTATACCTGTAGCCATAATCAAATACAGTGCCTGGCAAACACAGCAAGAACTCAAAAAAGATTCGCTGAAACAATGTATGAAAAGTAAGTTATCTGGAAAAGAAAAAAAGTAGTCTGAAGTTGTCTAAAAATAAGCTGAGAGCTCAAAAATTACTATTTCTGAAGCAAGTTACTTTGTGAAAATAAAAGTATGTGTTTTATTTAGAAACGTGCACAGAAACTTCCCATAAGCTGGTTCTTTTAACAATGAACACACAATTCTCAAATCCATTTGGCAAATGTGTCATATATAAAATATAACTCTAAAGACAAGTGATATTGTTTCATCTAAATAAATGTATACAACCTCAAAAGGGAGAAAAGTAACCACAGTATTGCATATTCTTTTCTAATTTTCATTCAAGGATAATCAATAACCTCAATTCATAGTTTTTCCATCTACTTATATCTGAAATCAACTTGAACTTTTACCTACAAGTAAACTGTAAATTTACAAGTCCCTCAAAAAAAAAAATCAACTTTCTCAAGATTGGGTATTGTTACAGAAGTATCAAAGAATATCTAATAAAATGCTTCTCCTGTCTCAGCAGACACCTGTTAAAATGCCCACGTTTGTAGTTGTGGAACCCTTTCATTCTGAAATTTCAAAATTCCAGTGCAGTAGTAAAGTATAATGTGAAAATATAGTTCTGTACTACTCTTACTCCCCAAAGAGGATAAGAAGAGATCAATGTACTTTTTTAAATATAATAAAATGCTTTCAAGCTATTGTCCTTTACCTCACTACAACTGATCATCAATTTTCACTTTTCAGGAAAAGTGAAAACACACCGTTAAGAATACACTCAACTCTATACAGTGCTTGACTTCAGCAACAAGTCAGTAAAATACATTTCTACAGTAACAGTTGGAGCTACATCTCTTCAGCTCACTTCAAATTAAAATTCTGGAACAGCAGAACTGATAAACAATAACCCCAATCTACTGCTGGAAGGAGGTTGAAAAAATTTGGGGGAAAAAGATCGCTAAGCATATCCACCTTTCTTTACAAAATGAAAATCCTTTCAAAACAAACAAACAAAAAAGCACTACCAGTCCACTTTATAGACTAGATTACAGAATAACAAGAGACCCTACAATATACAGAGTAAAATTATTCTTAAATTATCATTTACTTTCTACAATGCCTTAAAAAGTATCAAATGATTAAGACACATAACAGCTATTGTCCAGACGCTGACAGCATCAAAATTATTTTTAGTTTCTGGAAAGTTCTACCATAACAGTTTTAAAAAAACAACCAAATTTTAGCTAGAGAGAAAAAAAAAATGTCTACTCCAAAATGTGGAAATATACATTGAATATAACCACAATTCATTTTTTCCTTCTAACTAAAAAGCAGGAAGGTGACAGCGACCAAGACGGGTAACACGATTCAACACAAGTGTGCCTGTAATTAAGATTTTAAAATAATATCTTATCAAATATAATCTGACTTCTTAAAAATCACTAATAAAATATACAAATATTTTCACATCACACATCACACAGTGGTGTAAATTCACACCACTAAAAATTACCGGAAGATATTCAAAATACTTGAAAAATCCGACTCTGGTTTTCATATTCATTTCTCAGATCTTCTGGAATGGGTCTTCAAGAACAAAATTGTTCGAATGAGCCATTCCATGTGAATAAAGCTTGTAAGACCAATTCTCAAAACCTCCCCTATGATTCAAAAAGCAACGTACAGAAAATAGCATATAGACAGTTAGGGAAAGAAATGAAGGTACAGGGGAGCGGCTCGTTCTTTTGTTTTGGTAGCAGAAGCTGCAAAAATAAAGGTTCAGCGGAGCCATCTGCACCTATCCCCACCCATCACAGCCCTGCAGATCACTTTACCCATCCACTCAAGACTCTAGCCCTGAAGATGGGCAAAACCCATGGCTTTCCACGTCTCAAAGGGTAGACGGAGGTGGCGATGAGCTCCGGGGTACAGACAGATCGTTTGAGGACAGAGGGACAAGGAGATGCATCCAGAAAGGGAGGAGGGGAAGCGTCACGGAGACCCTGAGGCTTGCAAATTCTCCGGGGAAAATCCTTAAGGGGCCCACTTAAGAGGATGCCAGTTCAGGGATGGAGACAGATGGACGGAAAAACCTCCACAGGGTAAGAAAGCACCTTTGTAAGAGACTTGGGAGGGCGTGAACTAGGCAGCACAGAACTCGGAGCATAAAATGATTTGCAACAGCCTCAAATCAAACCCGCACTGCAAAGCTGAGACTTACAGTTACTTCCCGGGGTGAGGGTGAGGGTCAGCGGACCCCGCAGCTCTGCAGTTCTTCCACCGTCGCGGCCGCCCCAGCCTCTCGCGCCGAGCGGGTGACCTCAGGTACCCTCCCCGCCCCACCCACCTGGGCGGGCGTCCCCTCCTCGCCGGCCCCGGTGCGCCTGCCCTGCGGAGGCAGCTGGGGCCGAGGGTGCGCACTCGAGGCCCTCGGGGGCCGCTGCGAGAGCGGGAGGCGCCCGCAGCGAGGCTCAGACTGGGCGGGCGCCCCCCATCCCTCTCCGGCTGTCGCGCCGCCTCACTAGGGGGAGGGGGAGAGGGGGCGGTGGCTCTTGCCTCCGCCTCGCGGTCAAGTCCGGCTCATGCTCCAGCCTGGCGCGCGCGTACACAGCCGAGCACCCTCCTCCTCTCCCCGCACGCACAGCCGCCGGCGCGCCGGCCGGCGTCACTTAGCCCTCGAGCCACCCTCCACCCACCCAGACTGCCCGCAGCCCCTGCGAAAGCCAGCAGGAACGGCAGCGGGTCCGCCACCGACCCGGAAGCTCATCCGCTGCCAACCGCGCGGCGGCTAGGGTTGTGAACCCGGAAGCGATTTCTTCGCCCCGGTAGCGGCGGGGTGGCTAAGGCCCCTGGAGACCTGGAACCCCTAGTTTCCGGAGTGTGGGGTGTGTGAGGCTGTGGGGCGAAGAGAGGGCGGACAGTAAAGTGCCCGTGGCAAGGGGGTCTCCGATCCACTACCGCACTGTCCCAGGCACGGGCTGGGGAGCACGGCCGAACTCGCCGGGCGGCTTCGTTTGGCCACCGAAGGTTTTCCCATCACAGGAAGTTGGGCCCGGCAGCTGGGGAGGAAAAGGAAAGTGGGGATGAGAAGGCGGTGACAGTCCCCCGCACCCCAGGTGACTGGCCCACCCTGCGAGTTGGATGTAGCCGCCCGGCACGTGTTGAGCCGCCTACACCGTGAGACCGCAGGGTTTGCCTTCTGGGAGAGGAGGAGGAGGAAGGAGCAAGATCCTGACTACAGCGCGAGATAACAGAGGTTGGGACCAGCTGAAGTATCTCCGTATAGCCTTTCTCCAGGCAAGGAGTTTATTTCTCACAAATAATTGCCTAGCAGTCAAAGCTAGTTTTTGGGTGGCACCTCTTTGAGCCAGGAGGCGTTGCCAGTCTTTCCGGGTAGTGGAGGTTGGTGGTGGCGCAGGGAAACCTCCAGGCATTGTTTATTTTCGTCTTTTCAGGGAAAGCCTTTCAGAACTATCAGTAGGGCTCACGTCTCCGTGTTTTAAGGCTTTGGCTCGCTCTTTCCTTTTTGTTTGTCCGTGTTGCTTTGATCTATATCAGAAATCGTTGATGTTGCTGAACTGACTGAGGTTCTCACTCCACTCCTTTCTCCCTGTCACTCTCTTGAACGTATGTGTCTTCACAGCTTGCAAATTCTCTCTCCTTTAACAGTCTCTTAACTATTTGAATGTTCTCATCTTATTTAGGGCCAGTGACAAAAATTGAAGTGTTTTCATAATATTATAAAACCAATAAACTCATTCCATGGCCATTTTCTCTTACCCTATGTTAATTGTTGGCTTCCTCTTTGAATTAGATTGTAGAACTACATTGGCAGCTCATCTCTAGCTTAGTAAGATATACCACTAACGAAATCATGCTCCCCCAGACCACCTCACTAACTGTACAACATATGGACTGGTCTTTACAATTCATTTGGTTCCCAGTTCCAGTATTATTTACTTGTTTGTCTGGCCCACAAATTTAGTATACCTACCTTCAAAAGAGATTTGGAGATTGTAAAATATATTATATTATTGAATGGGGTGTCACTTAACAGAAAGTTTGAAAATTATTGTTGTTGATACTGTGAAATGATGAATAGATTGGTTGAAAGGACAAGGAGAAAGAAAATAAGGTAGAAGTAGCATTAATGGTTATTTTCTATTTTGCTTTATTATTCCTCTTTTTATTACTATAAATCAATTGAGTAGCAAAAGGATGGCATTTTTATGACCAATAAATCCCTATAGGAGAATTCTGATATTCAGTTGCTATCTAATGTTAATATGTTTTTTAAAAAGTAAATTGTTTCAGGAAAACGATCAAACAGCAAGTAATTTAGTCAGTTTCTAAGTTTCTTTTTTGGGGGAATAACAATAATAACACTAACTTCATCAGGTGGGTGAGGGGTAGATAAAAATATTTTTATGGTGATGGAACATGGGTGATTTGGTGATGGGATGCCCAAGGGGATTACAACTGAGATGGATAAATGCACAAAATGATGTAAAAATAAACTATTATATTTTAAAATATGTATGTTTTAAAGCACTTAGGCAGTGTCTAGCACATAAGAAGCATTACAGCTGCTAGCTGTTTTTCACATTCATTTTTTTTAAGATTTATTTATTTATGCATATAGAACTGGGGTACAGGCCAGAGGTGCAGGGGTGGAGAGAGGACTCACCAGAGGCAGATTGGGGAGCAGAACAGGCCAACTGACGAAGTACACTGCTGAGGGGAGAAGTACACTGCTGAGGGGAGCAGCGGGTGGGGCCAGGAGAGGTCTGCAGAGCAATGTAGGTCACCTCCAGGGCTGGGATTGAACTCTTGCTGAAGTGGCTTTAGCTTCCCAGTGCTGCACCTTAACCCACTGTGCCACCAGTAAGGGCCCTTTCACATTAATTTTTAAAAGCATAATAAGTGTTTATTTACACAATGAAAACAGCAAAAACTTTAGGATAACTTGGTAAAATAATTGTGGCTGCTAATGAACAAAAGAAAACATTTTATCCATTTTCAACTTTTTTTTACTGAGCTTTTTGGTTTGATTTGGTTATTTAAAATTGGTATGGATTGTTAGAAGGTGAGAAACATTGCTTAGGAATGATGAAGAAGAGATATTTTTGGTATGTATATTTCAAGTCATCAAGTATAAATATTTCCTAAATATTTTTAGAATCTTTTTGGTATTTAATATTAATTAGTGTAAAAACAAAATACTGTAACCCTCATGGTCATCATTTTCTTACTATATCACATTTAGCTTTTAAAAGTTGAATGCACTGTACAATATTAAATATCCTAGAGAAGTGATGAATATTTTAATAAATAAAAGATTGTGCTAGTAGATGTCTTCTTAACATGAGTTGGCCACCAAAGGAATTAATTTGCCTTAAGTTGGTTTGCATTTAGAAAATCAGGAATTACTTGATTTCTCTGTTAGGTGCTAATAGAAAAAAAAATTTTTCTGAAATTGTTCCATATATTTATTATACATTTTTTCTCAATACAATGCCTTGTGTGTTTGCAGTCTTCCAGGGCACATCCACATTTATTTCTTAATTTATCTTGAAGTCGTTTCTTAATCTGAACTGAAAAGTAAATTGCTAAATAGAAATTCTGAGCGTAAAAAGGCCTCATCCTTTCCTTTTAGTATAGGAAACTTTGTTGGATGAGGTGAGTTTTAGGTCTTGAGAGATACAGTATGAAAATGAATAACAAATCTCTGCAGAGCTTTTTATAAAATAAAATGTCTCCATCCTGATGTTTTACTGTAGCTTCTCTGGTGAAATATCTTTAACTTCTTTGCATGTAAATCAGTGAAATGTTTATAATTTAGAATAAAAATTTTAATTGTTTAAATTATTTAAAATACAGTTTTTGTATAGTAATTTTAATGGCTGTTTTCATCTTAGGTTAATGATGACTTAAAGTGCCCAGAGTTACTGGTTTTGTTTTAATTTTCCTTTATAAGGCATTTTTTAATATATAGGATAGTGAGTTAAAGGTTTCAAAATGACCTTATTAAACGCAATTAAGAAAACAGACTAGGGGCCTCCCAGGAGCACAAGGGGTTAAGTCATAGCACTAGTAAGCAGTCCACAGCCACTGCTGCACAGATTCAATCCCCTGCCAGGAAGCTACCCCGACATGTCACAACAGACCTCTCCTGTCTCATCCACTGCTCATCCTCAGCAGTGTATTTCAGTCTACCAACATATTCTGTTCCCCACCAGTCTCTGGTGTATCCTCCCAACGCCACACCCCATCCTGCACCACTGGCCTACTGCAGTTCTTGTATGCACAAACAAATCTTAAAAAGAAAAAAAGAATTCTTCTGTTTGTCTTCTCAAATGACATTCAAAAGCCTTTTTTAAAAAGATTTATTTATTCATGCATACATTATTTATTCATGGGTTACAGTCAGGAGGTACAGGTGGAGGGCGGCATTGGTGGTGAGAGGATTCACCAGAGACAGAATAGACAGATGTACTGAAATTCACTGCTGAGGGGAGCAGCAGGTGGGTCAGGAAAGGTTTGCTGCACCATGTGGGTCACCTCCCTGGCCAAGGATCGAACTTATGCTGCAGTGGCTACAATAGCTTCATAGTGTTGGGTTTTAACTTGTGCCACCAGGGAGGGCCCCAAAAGCCTTTTTTTTTTTTTTAAGATTTATTTATTTATTCATACAGAACTGGGGTACAGGCCAGAGATGCAGAAGGTGAGAGGATTCACCAGAGACAGAGGGAGTAGAAGAACAGGCAGATCAACGAAGTACACTGCTGAGGGGAGCAGCGGGTGGGTCAGGAGAGGTCTGCCACACCATGTGGATCTCCTCCGGGGCAGGCGGGGATCGAACTCATGCGGAAGTGGCTTTAGCTTCTCAGTGCTATGCTTTAACCCCCTGCGCCACCAGGGAGGGCCAAAAGCCTTTCTTAAAAAATTATCTTTTTTCAAGGAACTTGTACTGCTGGTGGGAATGCAAACTAGTATAACCACTATGGAAAACTGTTTGGAGGTTTCTCAAACTGCTAAAAATCAACCCAGTAATATCACTCCTAGTCATCCACCCAAAAGACACAAAAACACTGATTCAGAAAAACACCTGCACCCCCATGTTTATTGCTGCACTATTTACAATAGGGAAAACATGGAATCAACCCAAATGGCCCAAAGTAGATGACTGGATTAAAAAAGATGTGGTACGTATACATAATGGAATATTACTCAGCAATCAAAACAGATAATCTCATGCTTTTTTCAACAACATGGATGGAGCTGGAGGGGATCATGCTTAGTGAGATAAGCCAGAGAGAAAAAGAAAAATACCACATGGTTTCATTCATAACAGGAGCATAAAGGACTAGGGTGGAAAATAAAAATAATGAGCAACTATGTACCAGACACATTTTATGGGGGTGGAGTGGGGAATAGGATCAAAAATGGAGGATGCGAGGAGAAGTGCACTGAACTATGCTGATGGCACACAGGTGATTTGGTGATGGGAAGCCCACAGGAATTACAACTGAGATGGAAAAAGGCACAAAATGATATAAAAATAAACTATTATTTTTAAA